TAAAGGCTTTTCTCAGTGTGTGCAGGTCATTGGCTGTCCATGCTGGTCTTGTATGGTAAAGGCTTTTCTCAGTGTGTGCAGGTCATTGGCTGTCTTGCTGCAGTCTGCTAAGGTGTGTGTGTGCAGGTCATTGGCTGTCCATGCTGGTCCTGTATGGTAAAGGCTTTTCTCGGTGTGTGCAGGTCATTGGCTGTCCATGCTGGTCCTGTATGGTAAAGGCTTTTCTCGGTGTGTGCAGGTCATTGGCTGTCTTGCTGTGGTCTACTCAGGTGAACAACAGCAAAGATGCTCTCTGCTGGGGGTTTTGTCAGCTTCAGCACAGAAAGCTTTAAACTGAAGGATGTGGCTGGAGATGTAGTTCTGAGTAGAGCACCTCTGTAGTGTGTGAGGCCCTGGGCTCTGCCCTCAACAGCCACCCAAGACAGAGAAATCTGGTGGATCACCACTTTGAGAGCACAGGGTTTCAGTGTTCACTGCAGTTTTTCTTGGTCTTTTTGGTACGACACCCTACTTAGAGCAGTGCGTGTGCCTCCTGCCTGTAGACTGCCCTCTGTTGAGTCCCCTCCAGAGACTCCTGTGCGTGCATCTCGGGATCTACCAACTGTGTGCCTTCCCTCCCCCTGACTTAACCCTCATTTCCAGAGCACAGCCCAAGGTCTGTGTGTGTGGTCCATCTTCCCTGCTGCAGGTCCCCACCTCCTTCCTGTGGCTCTTTCCTCTCCCACCTTCCCCAGGACTTTACCTTAGAGTGTGTATCCGTGTATCGTGTTGTGTACTGTGTGTGTGTGTGTGTGTGTGTGTGTGTGTGTGTGTGTGTGTGTGTGGTCATGCGTGCTGCAGTAAAGCTGGAAAAGTTATCTCACGTCTTGGTGGGTTTTCTGGAATCCTCCAGTTTGCCAGGGTGTCTTGGTGTCTGCCCTTGAGTTTGGCCTTTCAAGGTTGAAATTTCAGAGCTTTTGCCCATTACTTCTCTTCCCTGAAAGAATGCTGACTATTGAAAGCAAAGCTGGGGTGTACAATTCTGTTTTCCTTGAAAGTACAGAATTGTGAAGATTTGATGTTTCAAAGGTAGTAGACCTTACCGAGCAAAGCATTTTACTGTGACACTTGACATGGATAGCGCACACAGAACAACACAGACGGACTGTAGTCATCATCATTTTTCACTAGATTCTCCAGATTCCCAGTGAACACTGACTTGGCAAACACAAGTTCTCCTTGGTCAGGTTCCTGGGAACCCATTTTTGTCAACTGATCATCTTGATTTTATCTGTGTCTGCTTACACTAGTAAATGTGCCTGTGACGTGCATCTAACCGTTTCCTAAAGACCCAAGAGCACACACTAGGAAGTACTCCGTTATTACACTTAAATAGCATCAGCAAAGCCATACACGTTCACAAAGCAAACAACAACTAAAGCGCCACATCAACCTGGCACTAAATAGACTGCAGAAAGGGCGCTTGTTTAGGGTGGGAGCTGGAACGAGGCACCACATTGCCCTGTTCCGCTGCATCTGGGAATATGCGCAACAGCGAGTGACCCCTATTTCTATGTGCATGTCTGCAAATATGGATTTGGGGGTACAGACACCTCTTACATAATGGACTTAGGTTGACTTACTACAAAGTGAGCTCCAGGACAGCCAGTACTATTACACAGAGAACCTTGTCTCCAAACCCCAGAAAACAAAAACAAAAACAAACAAACAAAGAAGAAGAAGCAAGCTGAGCAAGCCATGGGGAGCAAACCAGTAAGCAGCCCCCTCCATGGCCTCTGCCTCCAAGCACCTGCCCTACTTGAGCTCTGCCCCGACATCCTTCACTGTTACTTGGAGTCCGAGAAGAGACAAATCTCTTACAGACTGCTTTAGGTCATGGTGTTCATCACAGCAATAGAAACTAAACTAAGACACGTACATGCCTACACTCACACATATGAGTGTACGTTTGGAGGAAAAAAAAACATGATCACCAATTCACATCTGTATAGCACCTTCATTTTCATTTTATGAACTATTATGACTGACAATTAAAAGAACTTCTTAAGAAAAATGGACTTATGTTGACAAGCAGACTCCCTCCCTCCCTCCCTCCCTCCCTCCACAGGCAATAGAACACTGTCAGTCTCCCTTGTTTTAGGGAGTTCATCTAATGAACCCACATCTTCAAAGTTCTCTCTCTCTCAAGTTTTTTTCCCCATCCTCCACTGAAATAAATGTGTTCCTAAGTTCTAAAATTTGGTGTAATGTGCTCCACTCTCTGTGACATTGCCTTCATTTATTTTCTGTCGCTAAACAGAGTAACAGAGACTGATTTATGAAGACCAGAGGCTCATTTGACTCATGGATATGGGAACTGGGAGGTCCAAGAGCATGGTGCTAGCGTCCCTCACTGCCACCTCCATTCCAGCATGTTGAGGACCTTGTCGAGTTCTAACAGGACATCGGACACTAAAGGAGCCAGAGCAGGACACAGGCACCCCTGTGGTAAACCCATGAGTCTGTCAGTCGTCTCCCAGTGGTCCTGTTCCAGATGTCTTCAGCATAAATGTGGGGACGGTGTTTCTCACACATGTAACTTGGGGCACACATTTGTCCTTCGCAGGTGTGAACTCAGGACACGGATTCCGATCCTTTACCATCTTAGTCTTTCTTTGTAAGCAGGGCCTGTGGTGTGAGGAGAGCAGATTGGCTGTGAACTCAGAATCTTTCCATTCGAGTCCTGGAATTGCAG